AAATTTTTTTGTTTCTTCTATGAAAATTATTTCCTTTATACATTTTTTTGAATTATGAATATGAAATTTTCACTTTCATTTCAATATCTTTAACGAAAATTGTTATGATAACATGAATATGCCTCATGAATATACTCATACCGATTATGGTTCAGTGATGATAATGTTTGATTAAAGTGCTCAATTTAAATTAGATTGTTGATAAACTTTACCAATTCCCATGAGAAATTGTGACAAATTGTCTCAAAACATGCTCAGTTTCTGGTACTTACATATTAGAAGTTTTTTCTACTTTTGTAGCACAAGGAAAGAGAAACATTGAAATTTCAGACTGTTGAAAGTTGTGATTTTCATCATGTAAATAAATGACTTGAATAAAAGTTGATACAGATTCTGTAAGTAACTCTGGTTGGAATCAACTTTCCATGGCTGTGAAAAGCTCATAGCATGATTAGTTAGCCTGAAAAGTTGATTGAATTTATCATAGTGAAGGAGGGAAAAAGTTGAGCAGATTAATTCTGAGTTGATTATATTATTATTATTGACCGACAAGTTTATTCAATGTGCTGATGATTAATGTTTGTTATCATTATCATCATGATTATCATCTCTATCATTGACTTAAAGATTAACGAGTGAGATACATGAGAGAGAAAGAGAGCAAAACTCGACCTAGAACTTTTTTTTCCTCTTCAAATTGATTGAACAAATTTCGAAAGGGTGATTTCTCTCATCATCCATAATCGATAGACTCAGCGACTCAAAATCTCATGATAAGACGATAATGAGAAATGGACTGATAAAGAAATAAAAAAAGAGGGAGGAACAGTTATCGTCCTTATCATCATCATCATCATCATGAGCTTGAGGATAAATGGTAGTGTTAGAAAAGGAGACATTGAGTTGATATTGAATTTTCAACGTGACAACAAACAATATAATCCTTATCATCCTCATCTTAATCCATTGTACAAACAATGGGAAAATCTGGAAAATCAGAGCTATCAGAACTTTTTGTCATCTATGATGAGGGAAGCAGGAAAAAGTGATACAGATAATATTTTATTATGGACACATCATGTTTCATGATTAACAGAGAAAAGATAAATAATCGTGAGTGTTTAACATTAATGATTCAAAAGTAAGTGCTAAGATGAATCAATAAATTAGATTATCAATCATCATGTCTAACTCTGATTATCATGGAAATACAAACAATATTATTAATGCTTTTTGTCTTTCGCTCGTTGATGAAATAATTTTAAAATGGTACGAGAACTTTTTTCGCCTTCGTCTTAGTAACTGATCTGTAAGAATTCATGATTATCATGAAAATGATTGATTATTATGATTAACGTTTCGACTAAATTGTCAGAATCAAGATAATGACAATCAATCTAATCGTGATGTTGATGAGACTTTGATTAAAGTTTCATGAAAATGAAGGATGATAAAAAGTAGAATCTATTTTTGATGTTGACAATTTTTGTTCCTGACAGAATCATAAAGAATCAGTGATGATGAAATAATTAGGAATTCAGGTACAACTAGAATTAGAATTGCTAGTTTTATTGCAAAGGGTCAACTTTACCTTATACTTGACCAATGAACGGTAATTTGACCAGAAAAATATTCTCAAATTTCAAAGAAAAGAAAATCTAATTGGTTCATTTTGTTCATTGTTGAAAATTCCATGATAGTGGAAAAGTTCTCGTCTTTTATATCATTCATTCATCATGTTCTCAATTTAAATCTAAAGTTCTTGAAGCGTCGATTTGAAAGGTAGACCCGTTATTGAAATAAATCGCCGTAAATTCCATTATCACAAGAGAAAATTAAACACATGAGATGAATAGAATGGTTCATTATTCAAGCAATTATCTGGATCTTTGGTGCAGCAACTAAAAGCATCGAGGGGACAAACTCACTGATTCTATTGCGACAAATGAATAAATTGTCAAGAGCAAACAGAGAGTAGAAATGAATGAAACTTGCAATTTATCTCTGTGTGTGTCTTTCTCTCTCACTCTGGACTCATCTACGTTGATTGAGGTAATCTTGTTTATCTTTTGATGTATATTAATTCATCAGCAAGATGGTTATCATTAGGAATGATAATTAGCAGTTAGTATTTAACTATCAGTAGATAACGAGGCTCGTGGTGATGAAGATGAGAAACATGAGAAACATGAGAAAGTTAGAGAGAGAAAGAGAGGAAAAGGATGAGAGGGAGTTATATAAATGTTCAATCTCTTTTAATGATCAGAAACTGATGATTTCCCTGGAGCATTTATCTTCAACCTCCTACGATCTTCATCATCAGTCCTTAATTTATCATCTAATTGTTATAAATAACAAGGAAATATTTTCATAATATTTCAACAGGATCATCAGTCTGGAAGCGGTTAAATCATTTCAACACTAATTATAATCATCATCTTTTTCAGGGTTATTATCATTTCACTGATGATGCAGGATCTTTATTTTTATCATCATCATCATCATCCTCGTTAACCTGTCATTCAATCAACAGTAAACTCAATGTGTTGATTGTGTTTTCCTTTCCTTTACCCAAATTGATATAAATTGTTGTATCATCATCATTTAAATGACGATGATTAGTGTTAAAGTTAAGCTAATGAGCAGAAGGCAAATTAAACGTTGAAACAATTACATCCAATTGATTAGATTTTATGTATAAGATGAAACTCATTGAGATTAGATATTCAATCAATATTAATCAGTTCCATTTCTAATTGTTGTTATTGTAATACTTTCATCAACTTAATACATATCCATTCAATTTGCAATCGAAATCGTTTTCAGATCAAGATTCAGAAAGTTTTTTTTCTGTTTACTGAGTAAACAAACACCATGAAGATTGTAAAATAATTGGTGGAAACTTTTTTATCATCATTACCAAGAGATATACAATCAGTTTATCACCTTGATAATAATGTACATGAGTTGATTTCTTTAATACAATTGGAGTGAGAAATAAATTCTATTGTTCTAATTCAATTGAGCTAAATCAAGAGTTGAATTCAGAGTAAATCAATGATTCCAATCTTCTATTGGTCAATCTATGAGTAACTTTGGCTAATATCGACTTCCCATTACAACAATTAAACATTCAAATTGAAAAGTAAATCAATACAATTAATCATCCTCTTTAAATAGTGACAATTAACTGTAATCACTTGTGGTAATAAATTGATTTAGCCAACAATCAGCTCGTATGCTTTACTGGTGAACAATTTAACCCTGTCATTGACATTTTGTATTTTGTATTGATTATCATGAATCCAATTGGATTGTCACATAGTTTTCATTAAGATGATCAAAATAAGGTCACAGTTTTCATGGTAATGATGATTATCACATGAAATTTACTTACTATTGACTATTGAGAAGGCTAATCAATAATAATTAAATATCATCCAATTGATTATCAGTTGATTATGATAATCATCATGATCATTTGTGTACAAGAAATGTGATCAGGATAATGACTCTTGATATGAATGATTTCCCATTTTCAGTTGCGAAATTTTTTTTCTCATCTTCCTTTATTCATCCCCCGAGATGATTAAATCAATGGATAAAATAATGATCATGATGTCAGGGTGAAAGGAGGATGAACTGTTCAAAAAGTTCTGAAGATAATAGTCCAATCGATCTAAGATATTCTAAGATAAAATAAGAGTTTTTTTTCTCTCTCCCTCTCTTTTAATATCATAATATTTTCTTTGATAGCAAAAGCTCATAAAACTGAGTCTTTATCATGAAATTGAACTTTATGTAAGCCAAAAATTTCATGTAATGATCAAAATGATTACAATTTAACTCTAAGAATATAATAAACTTTTTTTCTAGTCTCAGGATTGAATTTTTTTCTCTTTGATTTGGTTACTTTCATATAGCCCATCAAATGAATACCCTGAAGCGTAATGAATATTAAAAGTATCTTCAGAAGTTTTTTCAGAACTGAATTGAATTTTAATGTGGAAAACAATGGAGAAATTGGTAGAATTGGTGTTAGAAAAGCTTAGAAAAAAACTATTCTTTTTTCAAAATGAATTTTCTTTCCCTATTAATTTCCTTCAGTTCGAATTCATGTTTATAAAATTAATGATGATGAATACAAAATCGAATAGAATATTGTTCATTTTTATGTAGAACTTTTTTTTCGTTTTTCATCTCTTTGAATAAATGATTTTCTCATGGAATGAAATATCACGAGAATATGTAAACTGAAGGAAGAAAAAGAGTGAATTTAATGGTGAATATCAATATGTATCTACATTTAGAATGTTATTTATTTCCAAGTTTCTGATTTTTTGTTTTTCGATTGAATGAAAAATTCAAGAGAGAGAGAGAGAGAGAATGGATAAAATGAACTAATACACTAAAAGTCTTGAATACCCATGAGAATTTTTGAATATCATGCATTTTTTTCAGATGAAAATGATATTCATCAAGTCGATTAAATATTCTCAATAACAGAGAGTTAATGAAACAAAGTATTTATTATTTCACTAGAAATGAGAAATTTTATCAGAAAATTGGGAAAAGAAACAAAATCCTAATCCTGATGATTATGCAAATCTAATTTCTTCTTGTAATCTTTACCAATAATTTTCAGTATGATAATAATAATAAGAATGCTAAGAAATATCAAAGAAAAATACTCCCAGAAATAATAATATTATCAGTTCTATGCAGGAGGTTATTCAGATAACCAGATATCATCATGTAATACATGGTAAGTGTGTGTGTATATATTGTGTTTGATGTAGATTATCCTGAAATTGATTGTGATTACCCTGAATAATAACAATCAAGAAGGATTGGTAAACTTGATCAATACACATTATATTAAAACGTATCCACTGAGAAAGTCAAAATGTTATTCAAAAGATTATTATCATTAACCGATGACATATAGTTTTCCCTGATAAATTCAGGGAACATTTCAGTTGGAATGAAACTATTCTTACCTCTTTGTTTTTCATCTTGAAACATTTTTTACAATAACGTAACGAATATGCTACAAAGGTATTTAAACGTTCACCAATACTTTGAAACATCACTAGACCCAAGGGTATTCCCGCCAGAGCATAAAACATACAAAAAGTTTTTCCTCCCCAAGTGGCCGGTGTCGAGTGTCCATAACCTTGAGGATAAGCAAAAGATAAAATTTTCAATGAAAAAAGTTATCATTTCGAGAAAAATTACCAATTCTCTGAGTCACTTTCGAGGTTCGACTATCCAACTGACGATTTTTTCATTTTCTTCATGATGGATTACATATTCTTCTCGAGTTTCAATGAATGAACTATTCTAACAGATTAAAGAATCTTGCTAATCTCTCAGATCACAAGTGAAGAATTTTTGACAGAATAGCATAGACGCAAATGCTCATATTCATTTACTTTTTTATCCTCTATACTTTCTTAATCACTTGGATTTACTACCAAGATTCCCTGCTGATGCTGAGAATCTGATGAATGTATTATTTTAATAAGTTCCTGTCTTTAAAGGGGAAAATGTAAATTTTTCATTCACCGGTTCATTGGTTACATTCAACATCAGAACTTTTTTTTGATCTTTTGAATATATTTTAGCATCGAATTGAAATAAAGTGCTGACTATGTTTCTATTTCTATTTAAATGAATCATGATGGTGATGATGATGATGATCACTGTTGGTCAATGAGATAATTTAATCAACATCCCGTTGAGAAAAAAGAGAGACTTGAGCTATAAATGAAAAGAAGAAACAAAAAATTCTAACCTCAGAAAATAAATCATTCAGAACAACAGGAAGATAGGTTGGTAGGAAGATATTCTGAAGATGTTCATAGAAATTTGAATTCTATCCGAGAAAAAAAGTGAAAATTGGATAAAATTTTCTTTCGTATTTCAAAAGTTTGGACATTTGAAATTCACATCAGAACGTTTGAGAAATTTTCATCTTATCTATTCAAATATTCATGATATCTACCATTTATCTCCATGTCAATCATGATTACTTTTACCTCCAAGGCTCAAGTTGCTATTCATATATGCTGAAGACTTCCAATGATAATCAATATATTTTCTCCCAGTTTCTTTAGATGAATAGAGGAAATAATGAAATAAACGTTCATCATCATGAAGATGAACTTTTATCATGATGAAAGATTGACAATAAAACGAGAGAAAAAAGAAGAAAATTTTCTAAAGTTAATTTCCAGCTCTATTATACAATTCTGGCTCGATTTATTCTATGATTTCGAATTATGTTCAATCGAAGGTGTAAGGTTCAATTCTCTGTTGTCTTCGAAGATGATTCTCTTCATGAGTTCTATGCAAGCTTATGAGTTCTAAGAGACGAAAAAATATTTCAATTCTCTTTTTTTAGTGATATTTCCATTGTATTCCTAAATTGAGAGACATGATAAAGAGAAAAAGGAAACAGAATCTTCATATACATGACTCAGGGACTGAATGATTCACAGAGAATCCCAATTGAACTTTATTCAATTTCCTGATTATATAATTTAACAACAAAAGGTAATATTACATGATAAAGATTCAGTCGGAATTCACTCCTACCATTAGTTAGAGGAAATTGTTATCAAATTTTGAGAGATAAACTCAGGCGGAGTTACTATTATTTTAAAGTCTTTCAACTCATTCACATGAAATATTTCATGATAAGTTATTATTTTTTTAACCTATTGATTCAATCAATCATTCAGGAACAAAATTACAATAGTATTTACATTATTATTATTACCACAGTTATTGAATTCCTAAGACTTTCATAGCTGATGGATGGGGTTAGATGGTGATGTTCATGATAATATTTGCTATTTAATACATTCATGCATGATAATAAGATTGGATTGTAATGTTATTATGAGATAAGAAAACGAGAAATTTGAAAATTGAATTTTGATATTGAACAGAATTGATTCTCAATATGATATTAGCAGCATTACCCATCATCCATTTTCTCTCAGGAGTAACGAATTTATTCAAATAATCTCATGGATGTGGAAAGAACCATTGATTTCATGAGAATATGTTTTTTGTTTCTCTATCAAATATGAAATTTTCCTATCCCTGTATCACAATTTTCCTTTGGATTTCAAACTGAAACTTACATACACAGTATATTCAGCATTTCTTATAGACTCTCAGGATTCTCATTGCTCTTGAATTTATTTCTGACAGAAAATTGTGATGATTCAGAAATTCATTACAGTGATCATTATCACCAAGAATCAGTTATCTCCAGGCTATCAGCTTGATTACAACTGTTTTCAGTTTCAGTTTTTCTAACATGATGTGGGGAAAAAATCCATACCAGGAGAAGGAGGGTATTCAATTTGCTCGAGTTTTAATGTTGTTTTTCTTCAGATAACAATCATGCATACAGAATGTTGAAATAATTCATTAGCTGTTTCCGGATGAAGATCCATGTAAAATCATCAGTAACTTCCTGAATTGAGCTACTTGCCCTGCAACTGAACTCATTCAGAATTTGTATATATGCTTTTCCAATATAAATGTTATTCTTAGCTACTTATCCCTGAATTAAATTGTTGATTATTTATCTGATGAATATTATGAATACACTCGTTATATGATAAGTTAAAATTTCTATGTGGTTGGAAAATATTTATTTATTTCATATATATAAGTTTCCATGAAATTGGTTAAAATTCTAGCAACTGTAATACTACTCATGGTGAGCCTGAGAGGGCTTTATTTATATCTAATAATATTAGATTCAATTGAAGGTATAAATATGATATTAGATGATGATGTTAGCAAGTGGGTGGAAGGTAGTTGCATATACACAACAAAGAGCAATATGTATGCAATATAAACATTTTGCTTGTCAGAATTGTTCAAATTTCCTTTTTGACATGAAAATTCAATATTGAGCAGAGAATAGAAAATATTAAGTCTTATCAAGTTCTAAATATTTTTTTTCTCTCTACCCTGACAATGAAGGTGGAAATAGTTATTGAGGAGAGAAAGAAAAACTCAAATTATTTCATGGGAAAAAAGTTCTGAACTTCATGATGAGAGGAAAAAGATTTCATCTCTTTTTTTTCATTCCAGTTTCCTACATTTCTACAGAGCACCCAAACCACCCTCGAGGCAGTTGTTTTTTATGATCGATCAGTTGAGGTAAAAAAAACATAGAAAATGATGAAATTTCATGATAAAAGTTCATGATGCTCAAAGAAGCATAATCATGAAGCTGAGAGAGAAAATTTGAAAGAAAAAAACGAATCGTCACATCCAGAGATAGTTCAATTCTTCCAATAACTGAATCGAAAAGCTTAAAGTATCAACATCAATCATAGACTCAGTTCGTAGTGAAATTATCATCAAATGATCGGTAACATGATAACATGATGTTAACTCAGAGAGAGAAATGAAACTTTCATCCAGATAGAAAAAAACTCTTATGCTAAGGGCAAATTTGCTGTAGAAAATGAGATCGAAGTGTTGGAACGGTTCAAATTGTCGAATGATTTGATCGAGAATCCGTTAGATAATCGATTGATTAGTTTCTCTTAATTGTCGACAATTAGGATTTACCTATTGTTGTTAAAACTGTCGTAGCAAAATAAAAGGCTCCTTCAAATTTCCACTGGACACCGGCTTTGTGGGGCACACTTTTAATCACTACTGTGGTCAATATTTTGAAATCTTGTTCGGACATGTTGTATTTACGTTTCAACATTGATTCAATTGTTTCCAGGGCATTTCTCTGAATAACTTCATGTTCAGATTCAAAGGCATCAAAAATGGCAGCTCCAACAAGTAGATAGGTAAATGTTGAGACGATCAATGAAAGAGTTCGGATATTTTGTCTCTTCATATCACTTTAATTAATCCAATCAGTGGATTATATTTATTTCCTTCCGGATGATGATTAACGATAATATGATAACTATAAACACTATTGTAGGTGTTGGTGTTGTTGTTGTTGACTGTCAACACACTCAGTCTAACACAACAATCAACAGAGATCATCAACTTTATCATTTTATCATCACACATACAGAAAAGGGAAACTATTTTGTGATTCAGATAGTTGATAATTTCACAATTAATTTAACTAAATAGTCTCAATTAATGCACATCAGAGAAATCAAATCAACAATTTAGAAGTAGAGAGAATGTGAGAGAGAGAAATAATTAAGAATAGACCAATTCAAGATTCAAATTCGTGTTATCATGATACACGAACGATTTCCACTTCGAATGTGATCCAGTTAGAGGAAGAAAAGAAAACGATAAACATGATAGTCTTTCTCACTCATAGTTCTAACAAAATTTCGCCTTCGAGATTGATAACTCCACCTTTTGAGTCGAATTGTAGATACAACTATTAATCAGAAAGATTCGAAATTGGCACAGTTTTCGATTCTTCTGTTTACAACATCGATCTATCGAAGACTGAATCAGCTGAGAATTCGAACATCGAAAAGCGAAAATTCGAACTGAAAAACCGAAAATGAAAAATTCTAATATTCTGATATCTGATCTCAATGAAATTCTGACTTCTGGTTAAATTGAATCACGAAATTAAAGTAGCACATTCATATAGTTAATTAATAATGTTTTGTAATTAATATTTAATAATATGATAATCATGATAACAATATTGTATAATAGTATTAATTGTATTGATTTGGTTTCGTTTTAACAAGAATCAAAGGTGAGAGAGGATAAAGGTTCTTGCAATAAGTAGATAATCATGTATATCATGTAATCAAGGAATTGGAAGATAAACTAATTAGTTTATATTGTTTTCTTTTCTGGTTTACTGATGAAGTTTTAATTGTTTTAAGAAAATTGTTTTTTTCCTCTTATTATGATTTATGAGAAATGGATTAGAGTTTTTGACAGATTATGGATTACGGGTGTGGATCTAATCTCTGGGATGGGAGATTTAAAATTAATGTCAAATAAATAAAGAGGAAAAGAAAAGGTGAAAATCGGAAAAGGAAATTGATGATTGGATTTGTGATATTTTTTATTTTTTTCTCTTTTGTTTTTGCCTTTTTATGTTATCATGATGATGAAGATGAAGATGATGAATGTGATGTGAGACTTGATGATAATCCGTTGTTTGTATTATTATCGAAGTGGCTTTGATTTAATGACGTTGATTTAGTTTAAGGGTGGACTCAGTTTTATTTGTTTGCTTTTACATGGGATTTTGGATCATCTCAATTTTGTTTCTTGCTTTTGGACAATTGAAATTATCCAATTGACATTTACATCTGATTCTGTAGATTGAACAATTTGAATGATGTAAAGTATTGGACAAACGTTAAGAACAACAGAGAAAAAATCATTCCGAATCTCATGAATAACCTGAACCATCACCCTGATGGTGGATGATGAAGGTGACAATGATTACATAATAAATTATAATAATAAACTTTGCAACGATAACGTTATTTTTTTTTGTTCATTTGTCAAAGTTTCCGTTTCCGTTTATGTGCAATTTGAGTTTTGTTTGTAACTTTATTTTTTTGGATAATGAGTTTGTTTTTTGTATTCGGTGACAGGGTTGAGGTGATGCTGATGGTGGGTTTATATGTGGTGTGTGTGTTTTGTGGTTATGGTGGCGGTGGTTGCGTTGTGTGTGTGTGTGTGTCTTATATGTTTGTTGTATATGGAATCGTCTCAAGATGGATAAGCGCCCAAGGGGAAGGAAAAATGTGTTCCATTGGTAAGTGCTTGTGGATTAACTTGATTTGCTGCCGCTGTTTGAGCCGCCGCAGCGACCAGAGCAGCGGTTGCTGTGGCTCCTGGATGTGGGTGGTGTGCATGGTGTGGATGATGGTGATGATGATGATGATGATGTGGACTTAGACCAGGAAAGGAGGCGGTTGCTGGTTCAACCCCATTGGCAAACTGAGCCGGAAAACCTACTGGTGGATAATCAAAAAAGTGAGTCGGTGTAATGGCCGCTGCAGCCGGAGGTGGTGGAGGTGGTAATAAAAGACTAGGTCCAGTGGTAATGTAAGATGAGGCTGCTGTTGGATGATAAACATAATGATGACTTGGGAGCCTGTAAACAATCAGAAAAGAGAGAGAGAGAGAGAAATAAAATTAATACAATTATCATCAAACATTCAACGGATAATCAATCAGGGAATTCAAGTTCCTAATCAACAACTGAAACTTTTGTAGAGTAAAAAAATGTTAGACAGAAAAGTAGAAAGAGTTTGTTTATCTTCCCTTTAGGGTTAATCAGAATCTATCAGAGTGTTCATAATATTCCCTGTAAACGAAATCACATTCTGATCATTTAGAACTTTTTTTCTTCGTGTCTCTGGTCTATTTTATCTTTGACAATTTCATGGGATTTTCATGATAGATTCATTTTGTCCCTATGATTTTGGTTTATATCAAAAAATATCTACTAATCATCATACCATCAAAACAAGTCGGAGTGATGATGATGATGATGATGATGAGCACCATGATAAAATAATTCCCAACTGAATACCAGGAATACGTTCACTGGGAAAATGAAACAAGATCAAAAATCCAATTACAGGTCATCCTTTTGATAACAATCATCATCCTCATCATGATAAAATTCAGTGCAATCCTATTTTCAACAACTCACCCTAAGGGTATAAAAATATTAAGCCTAAATGCTAGATAATAATGATAAAGGTAAACATAAAATCAAAAACTTTTTTTTTATTGAAGTTTTTGATTTCCAATCATATTGGATACACAGTTTTCTTCATCATCATGTAATTTAATCATTAATATTGTTCAACTGATTCTTAGGGATATTCATTATCTCAGCTGATAATCTGATATGAAATGTTATTTTCATTCCTGTTGAATGTTCATATGATAGAGAGATAAAAGCTTATCATGAATTTCACCCAGAGTGCTAAGCCCATGGTATCATTTTCTGTTGTCTAAGTTAATTGGTTTGTCTTTGGATAAAAATCCCATGGAAAATTAGATTTCAACTTCTTTTTTCCTTCTTCTTCTCTGTTAATCTTTTATTCTGTCTCATAACTTGTTCCAGTGTAATACTAAGCCTTATATCATGATACCTCATGATGATGATGATTTAGTAATTGTTCAGGTAATGATACACTTAAAGACGGTGGGGATTAATTGTTCATCGTTGATAAAAATGTTTAATTTGATTGTGACAATAAATGGTAACATTAAAAGTTTCACCTCGACATTTAGAGAAACTCAATTTCGTTGGAAAATTTTTTTCTCAGAAAATAATCTCATTCATGGTGAAAATTTTTCTTCTCCCATGAACTGAAACTTCAGGTTAACTTCAATAGAATAGAAATAAAAACCAAATCTTCTGTTTTCTCAATCAAATATTAAACTCTCATAGAAGAGAAGTGAATCAGAATAAATCAGGATCAATTCTGATTATTATCATGTCATCAAATTGAATTTTCTGTGTGTGGATATTTTTGTCATTCTGATGACCAGACTTGAAAAGTTATCCGTGGGTGGAGTTGGTTAAATGAATGATGAATCAATTTGAATCTCAAATGAATTGAAATGAGTTTGAATTTATGAATAATAATAATAGTTTATCCAACAGAACGGAATCTTCATTCAACAGGGAGAAGTTGAAATTTTCCTTTTGTTTCCATTTGATCAACAATCAAATCAAATCAACTTGCAAGTTAATATCATGGAGATAATCATGGTTATTAAAATAATCGAGAAATATTATTACAACAAAGAGAAAAATGAAACATTCTGATTGACTTGTTATCCATGAGAGAGATGAAATTATCACCAAAGGTTCATGGAAATTGAATCACAAATTCCCATTCTTTTGTCTATAATATGGTTTTCTTTTCTGAATAAGATTAAATCAGATTCCATTTTCGATAATTCAATTTTCCATAATTACAACAAGTAGATGAAAGTAAACCATTGATTACCATAGATGAATATCATGATGGAAAAGTTCAGAGATTCGAGACTTTTTCTTCCTCTTTCACATTGAAAATCAATCGGAATAAAATGTTTACCCTGTTTAGATTTATTTTAATCAAAATTTGTGTTCAGAATCAATTCATTCATTTATAATACAATTATCTAAGTGGTTGAAAGTGGATGATCATGATATTGAGAGGGTGGAGGAAAATTTCCAATCATGAATTGAAAATGAGATTGAAGGTGCTATTTTCTATCCGAGAATCAACTTCAATCATCTCATCATCACGACTTTTGTTGTGTTCATTATATTCAGAAAAAGTAGGAAGTAATTCATTCAGATGATGATGAACATGATAATAAGAAGATGATATTGAAAGAGAGAGAGAGAGAGAGTAAGATGAAAAAAAGGTAAAGAATAAGAAAAGAAAATTTCATTCAAAAAGTTCTGATTCATTTAGAAATGATAAAAATGTAAAGGGAGAGAGAGAAAATGTTCAACACAACATTGAATTGAATTGGAATTTCAATTTCCATTCTCTCCTCTTTATGAAACTCTGAATAATTTTCAATTCTCTGAACTTATTTTCCTCTCTCTCCCTCTTATGATGACAAGATAACATGAGATTCATTGGTAGCAGAATCATCTGATTAACCTAATATTGAATATCTAGTGAGAAGTATCAAACATCAATATCAACAGAATGAAATTCATAAAGACCAGGATACCAGAAGTGTAGATAAAGGATAATGTAAGCAGGAAATTCAGCCAATTATTCAGTTAATATGAAGAAAAATCCACCAAGATGGTTAATCATTAGGATTTGCTGGGTTGTCCTTATGATGATGAATATTTATCATAATTGAAAATGGGTTAATATTTGGAGGGAACAAAAAAATCTCAGAATCTCAATACCTGAAAAGCATTTTCATGGCAGAACTTTCAGATTTCTTATATTATCCCCACACCCACCAAAGCAATAACAATAATGATAATAATATCAACTAATAACGTTTCATGATGATCATTATCATCATGGTGATATAATAATAATGATTAACTGGGAATAAGTTGAATGTTGAAAACGTGAATAGTTTCATGATTGGTTAACAATTACAATTCAGATTCTGATTCACATGAGAGGCAATTATCATCATCATCATAATCATTTACCACTCCAACTATTAACACACAAACTACTAATATTTACAATTAATCCTACTGAATATCAAGATATATATGTGATTGAATTAATGATTACATTAATAAAGAGATGAAAATAAATCAGTAAGAAAAATTATCACAATGGAAAACTGAATTCACCATGAAATCTAAATTCTGAATTTAAGAATACCACAAAATCCAATGTAACGCTCTAAAGAAATTAATTACCTCTGATTAGATGGAAATTGATTAGTTGATTAGAATGAAAAGTTTTTCTTTAATTCAATTGAACTTTATCATGATCAACTGATTCGATAGCAATCAGATTAAAAATGTAATCACTAATTATCATTTCACATTTCTCGCAATTTGATTTGATTTCAATTGTGAACACGCGATAAGACAATTAATTAGGCTAATCTAATTTATTGGCTTGATTTATGATTATCTTGATGATTAATTATTCATAATATGGAACAAAAAAAGTTGAAACAATTAGTTTGATTGTGGTAGATATTAATACAATGTTGATAATCATTTTTTTCTGAGAAGGAAAATTTTTTTTACCAAACAATTAACTCTCAAGCTATGATTATGATTACAATGAGAGTTAATTATCTGGTGGATTTAATTTGCTGATAAAAAAAGATGATTAAGTTTAAGTGATTAAATTTTCATCTTTTCCATTGCAATCAAAATTTGGTTTAAAGTTTTAATTGTTGATGATAGTATTCAATTTGATTCCAATTACTTATCTGCTTAATTATTTGGCTATGGTGATGAATTGGAAATGATATTTATTGATTGGGAATCGGGTTAATCATTTGGGTTGGAAAAAAAAGTTCGTTGGTGGGGAAAGTTGATCAAAATTATTACTATGATTCAGCTGGAAAATATCTTGATGATTACATGGAGATTTTATCAGATGATCATGGGGGAAAAGTTCTGGAATTGATTGTGGCTCTGATTTTGAAGGGATCGCAGTTAATGAAATGAAATTTGTTCATTTGAAAGCTTGAGATGATGATGAAATTTTCTGTTCTCTCAATTTATCCATCTAAAAATGACTTCGATTGAAACAGAGAGAGAGAGAGAGAGAGAGAGAGAAACTGTTCCGTTTATCTTTGTATGGACAACATGATGATTCTGAAGAATTGATGAAGATGAAGGAAAAAAGATATTGAGGAGAAATGAATCTAATCTGAACATTTATATTTCATCAAGATAAAAGGCTAAAGGTTTATGATGATTATGAGGATGAAGACAATTGTTATCATTTTATCCTCACAATTTTATCAAAGCTTCATGATTCCTTCATGAAACTGATTGGTTGTGATAATGATAATCATCAAGGATTATAACTAACGATAAAAAAATGAAATTTCGCTGAATTTTTTTGCTCATAATTTTGTTAACTGATAAACCGAAATCAGATCGATAGAAGGAGAGAAAAGTTCTGATTGAAAAGTAAAACTAATGAACATTATTCTCATTCAAAAATAGAATTAACAATGAATTCAAGTAATAATAATATTCTAATGATTAGATAATAATATCGCGAATTCAATTGGATTATTAGAATGAGAGAGTTTTCAATTGAATTTTTTCTTTTTCTTTTGTTCTTGGAAGCTCAGAATTTCTAATTAGCTTCATTATTCTATTGAAATCGATTAAATATTATCTGTTCATTGAAATGAGAGAAATTCATGGAAGATGGAAAAATAGAAATGATTGAAATGTAAGAGAAAAAGGAACGGAAATGAAACGACTGATTCGGAAGTGGAAAAGTAGGTTATTAATCTAGCCAGAAATTCATTCAAATCAATTCTTCAAGTCAATGCTAACCAAAATAAAAGAAAGATATTGATTAGAGTTCAATTGAACATGTAATGACCAGTGGTCAATTTTTTTCCATAAAGAATAAGATGAAATATCTTATATACAAAGGGGAAGGAAAATTAAATAAGCAATTGGGTGATTTTATCATGCTAATCAATAAGATAATACCACAATCAGTTAATCTGATTAACATTAGATGGTGATAACTGTTTAGGATCAAGTTTAATTTACTCTAATCAGTTAATTTGATTATGATAATAATGAATGAGTGAAGATAAAAAGTTTAGAGGAAACCAGGAAATAAGTAAACAAAACGTAAACAAAGATACTAATCACAATATTTGTATCAGAATTTGTGAGATGATAACAATTGTTTCGTGTTTGTTGTTCAGTTCAACTTACAGTTGAAAATTCTCATGAGACACCATTGGTTCCTCATTGTTATCCTTAAGAAATAACGAAATTAGATGTAAACTGGATGATAGTAAGAACGCAATAGAGAGGGAGAGAGATGATGATGCTGATGAAGATGAAAAACAGAAGAAATTACCCTCAGGTGAAAATTAGTCGTAATCTTATTTTCTTACGTTCTATTCATCGCTCGAATAACTTTAATTTCGTTCTCCACAAACATCAAATGTTCATCAACAGTAACGAAAATCTATCATTTGGAATCTGAAATTCGGAACCAGAATTAACAATTATCATGTTAACCTTTATACTACTTTTTTTCTGTTCTTGTTCAAACTTATATTCTGACCTTTAGAGTTGAGAGAATACATTAAATCTTGATAAGATTAACATTATATTCATATACTTTATTTATCAAGTTCATATTAGAATTTGAAAATATCCAAACTGAACCAGAACTTTCATGTTTAGAATGACTTTTTGGCGCGAAAATGAAACTTTTTATTGCTCAGAATTTTGTTTTGAATGAAAATTTTTATTATTATTTGACATTTCATAGAAACTTAGTCTCCAGTCTCATATCTAAACTGGAATTGGAAATCATTTCTTTCATTGATTACTGATTGAAACAAAGCGGAAATTTGGTAAACTGTGAAATTGAATCTCCATTGTTGTGGTGGGATTTTCATGAAATGAATCTGAGGAGAAAAACTGAAAATATTGAAGTGAAACATTTTCTGTCTATGTCAACATAAAATGTGAAGATGACAAAGTAAAGCAAAATAAAAGAGAAACGTAATAAAAAACAAAAGAGCAAGAAAAAAAAAGAAACCTCATCAGATTCAGAGTGGGAACTATTTCCATGAAACATGATGAGGATTCAAAGTTATGTAGGTTACTAGTAAAAGCAATTGAATGAGTTGACAATTCGTGTACCATGTAATGTTGATGGTGAATTCTGATTCTGAATGATTCAGATCGAGATGGTTAGACGAGAAACCGGTAAGTAGCAAAATTTTCATAAGCAAATACCCTGAAGAAGTAGCAATGAATTTCAGATGAATACATTAGATTGACTTTTTTATGGTATATTTAAGTCACAACATTTTGGGTAGAGAAGTTGGAATTTAAATTTTCTTTTTATTTTTTTCTCTTCAGAACTTTTTTTGAGTAAATTTTTTCTTTCGAAAAAAAATAAGACTCATGATGATCATCATCATTGAAGAAACATAGCAAAAAAGGCAACTATGAATTGTGAATGAACTTTTTTTCACAAACAGAATTCATCAAGTTGATAAGGAAAATTATCAAAAATTTTCTATGAGTTATCGTGAGTATTTCAGGATAACCATGAAAATGAAGAAGTTCTGAGAAAATGCCTTTAAGGAAGTCATCAAGTGTTTGCCTTTTGTGTTGGAATAAATAGAAGAAAAAAATTCTGGAAAATAGAATATGAATCATGAAAGGAAAAAAGTGAAGTTCTTACCAACTTTCTCAACTATCATGAGAAAATATCAAGAATAAATAATGTTTTCTATTATCATGAAGAAGTTCATAGAAAGCGAAATTGTTAAAGGTTAACAATTTACAATGAATAATTGATTAGTCGAATGAGAAAAAGTCAAGGTATGGATTACATGGTGACTTCAAGAATATCAAATCAAGAAAATTCTGAAAATTAGAAAATCTTGTTGATCCAAATTATTGGCGAAAAAAAGTTCAACAAGTTTATCGATAAATCTGCTCATATGTGAAGCTAATAGCATGATAATCTTTCCAGTGTTGATAATTTCCAGCTAAAGAATTTAAATAATCACCATGGTGATGAGGAAGCTAATTCATATGATTGTGATCATGGAAATGAGCTAATTAGTTTCTCAATAAGAATAATGAATAAATGAGAGTGAAGGTGGAAATCGAGGCGGAGGCGGAAGAAGAAACAAAATAAAGGAGGGAAAATTCAACTATTCTCAGGAGAAAAGTGTAACATTATCATGAATTCTAGTGAGTCTATTGAATTCTGAATGGTTGGTTGATCAATAACTTTTTCCTTTCTCCTTGGTGACAATTAACTATTCACATGAATTATCATCAAGATTATCATCATCAGGTTAATATACAATTTATCATGATAATGTTATCAGAAGTTATGATAATAATGTTACCTTTTTTACACCCACCACCAGAATTATTCAGGTGGAAATGATATTTTCATGGTTATCGGTTATTATTGAAAAATATTATTATTATTATGTTATGATAATAATAATGATGATGCTGGTGATCATCATGTCGATAGATAATAATTGATGATAAAATTTTTCATTATGTTTCATGGTAAAAGTTTCTGTTGTCACTGATTGAACAATTTTCATTGGTTTCTTTTGTTTCTTTCATGATGATTACCATGATTAGAGGTTAATTATCATGTAGTTCATATCCATGTACATGATAACAATCATTTTCTTATTCTGTCATGTTTATCTTAGTTTATGAATATTCATTGAAGATTTAAGAAGATGATCAACAGATGATGACACATTCACGAAGATTCAGAGTTATATCATGTCAACCAGAATTTCTCAGTGTCAGTCGATTGGAATCTCTCTCTCTCTCTCTCTCTCTCTTGAGTTCTGATTTTCCTGAGAAACTTGTAATAGTTTCAGGGTGAATTCAGTAGATTTGATAATTGGGTTCATTACAATTGATTAAATTTTCCACTGTTTCCAATTTACTTGATAAGTTAAGGGTGTAAATTTATTCTGATCACTTTTCCCTTGAATCTAATTTTCATGGGGAATTGTAAATATTCAAGTGATTTAAAAAGTTCATTAGTATTGAGACTAATTAATCGGCCTTTGTAAAAGATCATCAATTAACCTAATCACCTCTTTGGTTCATAAAAATTTTCCTTCCTTTGTGTGTATATATGTTTATGTTTTCAAGTTAATTTAATAAACAGTTAATTCCCATCAGATTATCACCATGAACATTCATGATAATCTATTTCTCTGAGAATAGAAACTGAAACCAATTAAGAGAAAATTGTTTTCCAACACAAAAACTTATCGACTAATTGAATATCTCATGAATGGATAAAGTTTATCAATTTAATCATATTATCAACAACAGCAATTCAAATAATAGTTACATCAACTCAAGTTAGCAAATTGAACCTTGACAATAAACTTAATTCAATTGATCGATTTAATCGAAATATTTAATTATAAAAAGTTCTTACCCAAATTGGCCTGCTGGAAGAATTGGTGGATACCCTGGACGAAGTGGAAATTGTAAACCTGAAGGAAAAATAAATTTGAGAAAATGATTAAGAAAAAAAATTAGTAAATTAAGTTGACAATTAGTTGGTTCAAATTCATTGACAATTAACCAACAAGATTGAAGCTCATCTCTGGCTCATCACTTTCTGGAAGTTTTTGAAAACTTTCATGATGAAAGTTTCATTGTTTTGACCATTGTCCAGATTACTATTATTAACTAATATCAGATCTTTCATTGTCATTTAATTTAGAGTTTGATTCAGTTTGTCTGTTATTATTTACCAGTTTTCACTCCTAAAGAATCATTTTTGTTGGTTTGAGGTGTAAGAAAAGGGAAACGGAAATGATGAGAGTAAAAGAAGATGATGAAAGGTTTTGATTTGAGGTTTATTTGAAACTGGTTGATGAAACAAATGCTGGTGATGGGAAAATGTTGAAATGAGTTGACTGAAATTGTCATAATAAAAGTGATAACAATTGATGATAACAAGGTTGGTAATGTTGGGAGGGATTCGGGAGGATAATTCAGTCTTCCTTACGAAACAATAATATTATGATGGATATTTATAGCTGACCATGATGATGGACAATGATGAAAATAGATTTGAAATTGTTGACGATATGAAAAAAAAAGTTCTCAATGAATTATCATAAAGAATCATGGTCATCAATAACATTTTGTGACCCAAATTTTGGGATAAATGAGTGAACCATGAATAGATAAATGAACAATAATTCAATTTGAATTGAATTAACAAATTATTTTTTTTTCACCATAAGTGATCATCATGTTGAAGGGAAAATTCAATCTAGATAATCAACTGAACTATTCTAGTCTATCGAGATGAATAAAAATGAAAAAAGAACTCAATTTTCAGAATAAAATTGAATTACCTTCAACAAAATCTGAACATGAACAGTTTTCAGTTATCGTTTACACAGATTACAAAACAATTTATCATGAAATTAGCCACAAAATTGTCAATTAAGAAAAAGAAAAGAAAAAAACCTTAGCTAAACCCTACCCTCTGAAAAAATATCATGAAAAAAAATCTAAAAATTGATTATATGAACTTTTCCAATTGCTCAATGAGATATAAAGTAAAAGTAGCAACATAATGTTTAGTGAATTAAACTAATAACAATCAGGAACAAGTAATAATCAGGGAATGAGAGCTTGAACTTTTATTAAATTCTGGTGAATTCGGTTCATTGGGAATTCTTGATGAAATATCATCATGATATTATGATTATTATGTTGGTGATAAAGATTGTCAAATATTATCAATTTAAACTTTATTGAATCAATGAACAATTGGAATATGTTTTTTTTCAGATCAACATGAATTTTCATCAGAATCATTTATCAGGTAATTTATCAGTGATTCAGAAAAGTTCAGGCAACTGAAATAAATTGTTTCCTTGAATTGGAAAGTTTCAATTTGATTGTTATCTCAAACTTTAAATGGTTAACAGATAATGTTATAAAAACTGTTGTTGATTGGATTGATAAGAATTGAATTTATTGAATTAAATTGTTGATCTGAATCATTGTTGATGTTTTGATTGTTGATTGAGTTAATTGTGGCTCACTTGATGAAGTTGTTCATTGACTTCATGAGGAAATAATCAAGAACAGTTCATTAGTTATTTATTGTTCAACTGTCTATTCACCCTGTCAAACTGAGCTTCGATATTGGTTTGGAACTTTTTTTTATTCGTTGTAAATTCAACTTCTCTATTCGGATTTTTTTTACATTTCTTCGTATTTTCATCACCATGAACATGAACACCAAACTATTGAGAAAGGGAAAAAAAAGTTCCAACTGATTGTTGGTTATCGGTTCATTGGGTTTCTTTACAATTCTATTTTCTATCCATCCAGTCGATGATTATGATGAAAATGAAAAGGAAAGAAAAAGTTCTCAATTTTATCATTCTTTTCCATCGAATTTGTACTTTATGAATTCCATTGGAATTTTGAAAGAATCAATTGGAATTCATTTGCTGTTCAGAAATGAATTCCAGCTGAGACCAAGAACTAAATTGAGCGTCAAATTGTTCTCATGATTTTCAATGATGATAAGTAACATACGAAGGGAAAAAACAAGAGACTTTACCAAATGACAGAATTTTTAATACACAAAAAACTAATAGAAAAGTTTTGAGTCGTTCGATCGCTGAAAGAATTTCCCCAAGAATATTTCAATGAAATTCATAACCGTACATCGAAATCATCTTCTGAATTCAGAATAACTATTCATTCATTCAAAAGTAAAAACAGTAATGAATTGAGAATTATTTCTTATGATAATAATATATAGCAAAAAGGATAAGATTAAAGACCAAGAAAAGTTCAAAACTCGAAGAAAAACTTTTCATTAGTTAAGCTTTTGAGTTCAATTCTGATTCACAGTAATTACCAATTCTTTGAACTATCACGAAACATGAAGGTTCAGTGTTGATAGTCGATGATTAAGCCCGACAATCAGTTGAATAAACAACCTGAATTAAGGTAAATAAATGAGTAGAAAAAACTTTTTTTCGAGAAATAAATTATATCCATTTAGCATTATCATCAGGGACTGATAATCGATAATCAATGTTCCCAATGCTGTATAATAACATAAGTGAAATCATCTCTTTCTGTGGTTAATTTCATTCCCACCACCCACTCCTGAGTATCAACCATCCCAATGAACTTTTATTACAATGATTACTCAGTTACAAGAATTTATAACAAATGTTATTTTTATCATCTCATAGTTATAATAAGTAACTAAAGGAAAAATTTTAATACTTAATTGTTGTTCAGTTGTTTGGTAATTTAATTTACAAACAAATTCAAATCATGATCATACTCATGAATTAATCTAACAATCATATCTTATCTGGTTCAGACAATTATTATTATATTATTATTATTATTCAAATAACATTGTCAGATCTTATCCTAAATTATCATATTGGTTAATCAATTGTAAATTGTTTATTGTCAATTGCTGGTCATTAGTTTTGATCATAGTAGTGTAAATATTGTGCAAAAACAATTAACAAATTGTATTCAAAGAGACAGAGATATAATTAATTTGATCATATAAATTACCATCTCCATTAGATTCTGAATATCATCATCATGGTCATGATAATCTTTCCGATTGTTATTGTATTTTGGAAAACAATTTTCATTGAGATTTTATTTCCAATAGTAAATGAATATTATTATTATCATTATTATTATTTGTGATTATTGTTTTTGTCATTTTATTAAACTAACAGAAAATTCAATGGCTCAAGGTGGGGGTTCAGTGGGTTGAAAGGTAGGGTGGGAAAATCCTGTGTAACTCATTGTCAAGTGTATTTTATTAACAGAAAATTTATCACACAATAGGGAGTAAATTTCATGGTGGGTATTCATTATATTTGTATTTTTATTTATTTATGTTCCTCCTCAGAATATCATCTGATTCTGAATTAGACACCAAGGAACCATATTTCATTCATCTGCTTTTCTTTATCTCTCTCTCTCTCTGATTACTCTGAATTCATTAGATATCATTTTTTTTCAGGGGGCAAAAACTTTACAAGTATAAATATACATGGATATATTTCTGAGAGATATACAATTCATCATGAAATCTAATCTGAATTGAAATTTTTCAAGTTTATTTTGTTTCTCTGTTGTAATAAAAGATGTAAATTCATTCAGCCTCACTCATTTGGAACCATGAAACATGATAAGATAAATCAGTAGACTATGTGAATGAATTTGACCTTTTGATTGTTCAAGTTGATACTTTAATTGTTTCCTAATGATGTTAATCATTTCCATATTTTTATATGTATGATAACCTCGATTGTTGTTGTATCATTTTGAAAACCATTTGCACTTTCATTAAATATATATTTCAGTAAAGTATAAAAGCTTCAGTTATGATCATGGTGATTACCATGAGATTTGAAGAAGCCAAAGAAAGAAAGAAAAAAATAATAAATTTATCAAATCTCATGATGATGATGCAAAAGTTTCATGCTAATGGGGTTGATGAGTAGATTATGATGATAATACCCTTGGTTATTGGATGAGATTTGGTGGTAGTGGGTTTGGGTGAATACATTAAAAATAAGAGGATGGGGTGGGTTTTGAAAGCTTTTTCAGAGAAAACTTTAAAGGAAAATGTTCCCACCGCCATCATAATGATAATGATGGTACATTAAATTGATTGAATATACAAAAGAAAACAACAACAACGGTTAACCCTTTCAATAGGAATTCCCTTTAAGTTTTTGTATCTTCCACCATGAGGTTGATGAGTTTCTGTTCATTTTCAAACTTTCCCCATGTAAACCTTTGGATTTACAGTTTCTCATTACATTCTCAAGTGAATCTATTAATCTGATCACTTATTAAACTGTTATTGGTTAATTCATTTTCTACTCTATCATAATATTAATAATAATGTTGTTATAACGGAAGGAAAAAGATAAACATCTCCCTTGGAATTCAATATTTCCAAATGTTTTCCTCAATTTTAAACATGAATAAGAGATAATATCATTTACCTTTATGCTTTAATGATCATGGTCAACATTTGTTTATCCTTTTCATATATTCCAATAGTTAAATTCTTGAAGGTAAAACTCATAACTTGTTGGTTTGTTGTTCTGAGTGAAATGTTACATGTAAAAAGTTTTCCCCTTACAATGAATTCATATTGGATTATGAGGGAAAATGTTTTCTCTTCTCATAAAATTAACAATCAATTGTTATGATTGTTGGTTGAGAATTAAATCAATTTAGATTAGATTGATTTTGGGTGATTCATTATTAGGATGGTTGGTTAGTTGATTGTTGGATTTTTCCAACATTGTTATTATATCCAATATATTAATAGGTTTCAATACAATGCGACATTTAGTTTATTAAGGAAAAGTCAATATATATAAGTTTTTTTTTCTCGTATTCTTCATTGTAGTTTTATATAATATTGAAGAAAAGGAAGATTACTTTGAGAGGA